ACATTACCATCAACGCCCCCAAACATGTAAGAGGAATTGCCTGAATATCCAACTTCTGTTTTTATTGTCCTACCATTCATACCTATATTTGAGCTTTGGGTTGGAAGTACAGATGGTGGTGCTTCGATCCTACTCGCACGTGCAGACATGTCAACTGTTGAATGGATTCTTGAATGCAATGACACAGCACCATTGGGAAACGCATTGTTGGGCATGCTGTTGCCAAAAGGATGCTGCACATTATTCTGCTTCAATGAAGATACTGTATATGTTGGATTCTGGTGCACTGTTCAAATATGGAACGCCAACATCTATTATAGTTAATCCTCATATAATTGGTCTAGAAGATAAATAATAACTTAAGAAACATGCATGAAAGCTCCTTCCCTAAGGGCTTGTGAAAACTTTTTAAGACGTTTAGAAGATTTGAAACATTAACTTGACAATTCTTTGCTTAGTTTGAACCAGGTCTCTAACGGATTGGGCGTATCCTAATGCATATAGAGCATTATCTACTGAAAAAACTATAAAACCTCAGATCAAAATATCACAACTTAACACAATAGAGGTACTTTAAATATCGACAAAACAATATTTCCACAACCAATACTGTTAAAGACAGCAGAAATAGGGCTTTTTGCCAGCAATTACCAATCCACGTCCAGTAAGTGAAGCAAAGTTAAGCCAGGATCGTCAATGATGTTTACTATTTATTAGTTACTTGCTGAAAAAGGGATCACAGCAAAAGAAGTCATGGCCTCTTTTCCTTGATATGGTTTGTTGTATATCTGAATTACATGGGAAAAAAATAGTGATTTTTCATTTCAATTTAACTCAACTATCTGAACCCACAGTTTAGGGATCAAAAAGAGAGTACAAGAGTATCATGACATGAATGGGCGATCATGTCTTCCCTTGTCTCATTTCTCCAGTTTCAACTAGCCACCAACTATTTTATATTGGACAAAATAAATGAGATAAATCACACTATGTATTGACATTATTATAGAAGAAAAGGAGTGACGTGCAATAACTATAATAAATTACAAATGCAGGACATTTCCAGATGAAAACCATTAGAAACTTAACAAAAGAAGGGAAAAAAGAAAAAAGAAAAAAAAACAAAGAAAAAGAAAAAGGCAAAGAAAGCAGGACAATTGAATCAGACTCACTTTGTTGGACGAGTGATCCATTGGAGGCAGGCAAGGGAGTAATTCCAGTTTCTTGTATTTGCATCATTCGAACTTGTTGCTCGAGCAACCTGTTGAATTCAACTATCTGACGCTTCACCATTAACCTCAGATAATACTCCCTGAAGAATTCACGATTCTCTTCTTCAAGTTTTTGCCAAACTAGAGCGCAAGAAATACATTAAATTGCTGTAAGACAGTAGGAATATCTACCATAGAAAACGACTAATCCAGAATTATTATTATCAACTGTCTAACAGCTAAGTGACAAAGCAAATAGTACATCAAACTAACAAAAATCTTAGCATGACGGTTTTAGTTCTGATATAATAATCCTCTCATCAACACCTCTCACAATTTCAATTGTATGTGCAAGAGAGCAGAAAGGTAGCAAGAAACATAAACTCGTTGTTACCAAGTTCTGTAAAACCAGGCTCGATTTTTGCTTGGTTCAGTAGTGTTTCCACAACTTCCTTTTGGTTCATATATAGCTGAAGGCATCGTTCAATAAGATTTTGCACCTAGCAGCAGACAGAAAGGAAATAATGTAGCACACCATTATCTCATAAAAGTAAATTTAGGTGATCAAAGAAAAAAGTGTCTTCATAACGATTAGGACAAACAAAACTGCAGCAGAATGAAAAGTAGCGGGAGGGGGAGTTGATAAGTTACTGACCAAGAACACGTCAGCTTACCAGTTGGATATCTTGGCGCGAGACTCTTCTCATTGATCCACTCGACATTCTTATTGATTATCCACCACTTTCCTCTACTACAGATTCTGAAGAATACAAATTACTGGAGATGGATAGTATGGGACCAAGGCAGGCTGTTCAATGCATCAAATAAGTTGAATGAAAAAACCAAAAGGAAAATATAATCAAGGTTCACGTCGAAAAGTGTAAAATAAGTACACGTGAAATGAAAGAACAAATCTATCATGTCATGCATCAAGGAATATTCTTCACTCAAAGGGAATACTGTAGAAAAGTCGACTGGAGGAATAAATTCTAGGTTAAAATTAATATCAGAAAAAGAAATATTTTGGAAGAAGGTAAAACACTTGTCCTATGTGGAATCATCAAGAAATACTTTACATATTCCAGAGTTTTCATGCACTGCTCCTTAACTTTTCATTACTATTTTCTCTCATGTCCACACTGTCTGCATGTTGGCTATCTTTCTTTCAGGTGATAAACCAAAAATTCATTGAGAAAAATGAAAGAATAGACTCTAATTCAACAAAATCAAACAAAAGGGACTTCAAGAACTAACTACAAAAACAGACTCTAATTCAACAAAATCAAACAATATCATAATTACAAAAAGACCTAGTAATCCAAGTCCGCCTAAGACCATTAAACCTCACCACCCCCCCACAAGCCTCAACACACGACCTCTCGACCCTGAGAATCCTATTATTATTTTGTAGGGACATCATCCAAAAGAAACAGTCTTGAAGACAATTTTTTATTTTTAGCAGAGGAATGATATAATGGCTTGCGTTAAACTGACAAGGATGTATTATGGACACAACCCACTCCAACGATGCAAATCAATAAAGTGAAATCCTTGAATTCGGTAACAAAAATAATACCAAACAAAACAAAAAAAAAAAAAGAACTATTCAGAACAACCTTAAACCTAGACCACAAGGTTCTCAAGACAACAAATTACACCAAACCCTGTTATTCATGTTGATCACCTGACCCTATCAAATAATGATTCGGACATCCAATATCCTTTTCTTTCTTTTTTTTAATACATTCGACCCTCGACCTGAAACGGTGATGCACAAGATTTGCGGTTAATTCCGCATGCGTAAACAATGATGGCAATAAAAATCAAACAACCATAAATCCAAAAAAATTAAAACGAGAGTCCACAGTCAACAGAATAAACTATCAGGAAGGTCATAGTCGAAACATCACATCGTTCCTCAACGATTCCACCTCAATGACGTCCAACAACCATAAAACTTAAAACAGGGGGAGGAAAAACCCTAAAAGAGCTCCAAACTGGGAAAAATAAACGAACAAGTGGCGGTAATAAGCAGAAGCGGAGATAAAATCGCAAGAAGAAGAAGAAGAAAAAGAAGAAGCAAAAATCAAAAGGTAAATTGGGCGAAAATTAAGAACTCCAGTTTCAGAGTCGGTGGAGATCATACCTGAATCGGATTGGAAGAGGAGAAACAAGTTGGAGGGAAGTTCATAAGAGGAAGAATTAGGAACGGGGAAAGAGAGAAAGAGACGAAGGAATCGAGTAGAAATAAAGGATTTGATGAATGAATTTATTTATTCTTAGCTTTTTTTGGGTGTGCTTTGATCGCCTCTTCCTCTGGTTTCGATTCCATTCATCGGTAATAGTTTTCATATTTTGGCCAAGCTTTTATTATTATTATTATTTTTTAATTATTATTATTTATTTATATCCAAGCTGTATTTTTTAAATGAAAAAACGTACAGCTTTTCCACGTGGAAATGAGCAAACCGGGCCCACCTAACACCCAATTGGATAAACTCAGTGGCTACGGCCTCGCATGATCGAAACTTGGACGACTTATAAAATTACATCCAAATCCCAGTTTTACCCCTCACAATAAATTGTGTGTTTTTTTTTTTTTTTTTTTTTAATACGGGTTAGTATACGATGGAACTGTTAGTATCATTAAAAAATACTCCACTTTGAGTAGAGCAACTATACCTTGGAGGCTCACACCCTCGAACAAAAACGACTCTCCACATGGAGACATGGTTAAGTTTAGGGCATGACTCTGATACCATGTTAGGAATCACGACTCTCCACAATAGTATGATACGGTTCACTTTGAGCATAAGCTCTCCTGGTATTTCTCACTTATAAACTCATGATCTTTCACTAAATTAACCAATGTGGGACTCATTCCCAATAATCTTCAACACTTTCAAGAGTAACATTCAAAAGATCAGAGATAGAACTTTTCGTCCATTTTTTTAATTTTTGTTTTATAAACGTTAAGGATATTAATACTAATTTTAATCATGAATATTTTTAAAATAAAATTATGGTAGAGTATTTTTTTTATTTTAAAAGAAATATTAATTAAACTACTTAAAGATTAAGGTTATTTTGGAGATAAAATAGTAAAGGTTTTCATCCAAAGGTAATATATTTTTTATTTTTAAGTTTAAGGATATAATTGAAACTTAAAAAAAAAAATTAAATAGATGAATATAAATTTTAAGAGTATTTAAAAAAAAATACTCTCTCTCGTTCATCCTTCGGTAAATTTCTTATTTAGGTCAAATCTCGAAAATGGTAGGCTTATTAAGACCATAACAACTAACCTAACTTTTTTTTATATATATTATATAAATGTCAATTTCACTGTCCATAAAAATATTTAAAAATATTTAATTTATTTAATTGGTTAAGACAACGTTATTTTTATCAAAATCTATCTAGAGAATATTTTGAAAGATATAACCAAATAAATAAAAGATTATATTGAAACTTTTAAAATTAAAATAAATAAATTAAAATCAAATACAAATACAATTTTTTTTAATATAGTAATTGATATTTTATAGGAATAGTTATGAGTATTATTAAATGGGCATTTTTAGGAATATTAATTTTAGTTACCATTTATTTTTTAGTTCATTTTCTATTAGATTAAAAGATAATTAAACTAATAATAATTAGATTAATAGATAGAAGATAATCTATACTAATTAAAATAATTAAAAGTATAAATAAAAACATAAAAGGTCGATTTTTTTTTTTTTGTCGATTTAAAACTTTAAAAAATAAAAAAAAATATAAATTTAAAAGACACAAAATTGAAATTTTTGTATAACAAATCTCCATAGTAAAAAAAGAAAAGAAAAAAAAAAAACTTCCTCTAATTTTCAGAACCTCTATGTACAATTTCTCTCATGGCGCCTCACCATTAATCAACACGATCAATTCACAGTCGCGACGCCATTGCTATTGTACCTTATTCTTCTTCTTCTGTCCTCTCCTACACCTTCTTCATCCATCCCCGCCTTTCTCTTGTTGCTACTGTTCATTTGAATCTGTTGTTGTTGTTGTTTTTCAACCGATTCGAATTCGGTCTCTGTTGTTTCTTCTTCTTCTTCTTGATTTTGATCCTTTAATTTCGTCTTCATTATGTGCGGTTTCAGTTTATTCACATCGCACAATCGAACTGGCTTCAGGAAGAACTCTTCCGCGCCTTCTTCTAAACATCTGCTTCGAACATCAATCAAATCCAATTACATAAGTTTCTGATCAAGCGATATCAGAGATCGATCCATAAAAGAAGAAATTGCAAATCGATTCTTGATTCCTTACCTGCTGATTCTCGAAGGTAAGTTTTCGGATGACATTATCACCACTGGTATGTTTCTAAGAGACGTCGATTCCTGCAAATTCACAGAAATTGTTAGATTTACGTCCATTCATTTGTCCTCTGTTTGTGTTTGTTTGTTTTTCAAGGAAAACAGATTTTCCAGTTAAGTTCCAGACGTAGTAATTAGACAAATTCCTAACTAGTCTCTCTGTTTGTTTCCAGAGAAAAACAGATTTTCCAGGAAAGTTTCAGGAGTAGTGATTAGGCAAATTCCTAACTAGTTCTTTTTTTTTCAGAGAAAAACAGATTTTCCAGGAAAGTTTCAGGAGTAGTGATTAGGCAAATTCCTAACTAGTTCTGTTTGTTTCCAGAGAAAAACAGATTTTCCAGGAAAGTATTGAGAATAACAGCATAACACAGATCTAATTGACTAGAAAGGAAACAAAAGAAAGTTAGTGAGAAAATATTCTCTGAGAATTTTCCTCAAACAAGTGGCGGGTTGACAAACGCATTCTTCAGAAAAATCCAAAAAAAAAAAAGAGAAAGAAGAAGAACAACAGCAACAACAAAGAGTAGAACTAAGAAACTATAGAACTTCGACCTTTATTTATTTCCCTCTTACCTTAACTTTCTTGAGCAAATCGAAGCCAGTCATCCCAGGCATGCAGTAATCAGTAATGATAAGATTCACTTCCACTTCCTGAAAACAAAAACTCACAAAATTTCAGAAACAGAAGAAGAAAATGGAATGAAAAAGAACGAATCCAAATCCGAAATAGAATAACCTGATGATGAATGTTCGAGGAGGAAGAAGAAGAAGAAGAAGGAGATTTGAAGTTTGTACGCTGATGTTCTTCAATCAAACCCAGAAATTCCAAGGCCTTGCTCCCTGAATCAACCGTAGTAACTACAGAAACCAAATCAAACAAAGAATTCACCAAACCAATTCCTACACAAACAGAAATTGGATTTTGTATATGTAATATACAAAATTAAAAAAGAAAGAACATAGAAAAATACCTTGATATGAGGAGGTTTTGAGCAGCCTCTCGATGAGCTTCCTATCTATGAGGCTATCATCGACGGCAAGAACATGGAACTGAGAATCGGCAGCCATAACCATGATTGCCCCAAATTCAGAATCAGAGAGAGAGAGAGAGGAGAGAGTGGGAAATTGGTGGGTTTGCGTTGGTTTTAAGAGGAAGGGAGGAGGGGGAAAAAAAATGACCCACCACGATTAACATCTCACGAAGCAAGATCCGACCGCATTTTGTTGCAAATCTTCCGAATTTTTTTATTTTTTTATTTTTTTTGAATTGAAAGGCAAGCGATCGATATATATATATATATATATAAGAAAACAACAAAATAAAAAAGAAAAAGAAAAAGAAAAGGGGAGGAATAGTATTTATTATTATTATTTATATATGAGACGAATCGTCCCCAATATCTTCCCAAGTGATCGGGAAGTGGGACATGCTTCTTCAATTATTATTATTTTTTCTATAATGGACACAAGAATTGGGATTTGTTTCAAGATTTCTTCCTATTTACTTTTTAATTAATTTTGTTTTCATCCCATGCTTTTTTTTTCTTTCTTTCTTCCATTAAATTATAATTTTTATCCACTTGATTTTGACATACGAAGTTTAAAAAATATTATCAAATATTTTTAAATATCTTTTGTAATCTTTCCATTTTTATTTAATTTATTACCGTACGAAGACGTGTGAATACAATAGTTTCATTTTCCAAAGATATATATATGTAATTGTAATAGCTCAGATCCGAGTAGATATTGTGTTCTTTGGACTTTCCCTTTCGCTCCCCCTTAGAACACGTCTGTTTAACGAAAGTTTCCACACTTTTATAAATGGTGGTTTGTTCTTCTCTCAAACTAATGTGAGAACATCACAGTCCACCCTCATCGAGACCCAGCGTCCTTGTTGGCACTCTTTCCTTCCTCCAATCGATGTGGGACCACCCTCAAATCCACCCCACTTTGGGGTCTAGTGTTCTTACTGGCACACCGCCTCGTGTCTACCCCCTTCGAGAATCAGCGAGAAGCCTAGCATATCGTCCGGTGTCTGGCTCTGATACCATTGTAACACTCCAAAGTACGAAGAAAAAAAGTAAATATATAAAATATTTTTTTCATTGAGAATTTAATTAACTTTAATAATGGTAGTATTGGTATATTATTTTTGATTTGTATAAATCGATTACGTATTTATAAATAATTATCTATAAACATAGCAATCCACTCACTAACCTACAAATTAAATTGTTATAATTAATTATAATTAATTAACCCAAGTTCTATATTTTGCTATAATTTATCATTATTTTTTTGTTAATAATTGAATATGTTATCTAAATTATGCTAGATCATAATAAAATCAATATTTTATTTTTGTTTCTTTAAATAAAATAAAAAACATTAATAAATGAATTAAAAATTTACATCTTAATAAAAAAATAAAAAAAATAAATATTAGAATCAATAAATTAGTTAATTATAATTAATTTAATATTTGATTTTAATATCTATGGCTCCTTGAAAAAAATAAAAATAAAAAATAAAACATAAATCAAAATTTATAAATTTTGTTATGGAGTTCGAAGTCATCTTATTCACATATAAGTGGGGCCCACACAAGATTCACCCATTAAAGATGAAAGATTTGAAAATTGTGACATTTAACTGTTAGCAAACATTTATAACCAAATAAAACAATCTAATAATATATAATTAAATAAAAACAATTACAATATTTTAGTTTTTCTCCACAAATATTATATTCCATTATTGTTGCATCATTTTATCCCGAGTACAAAGATCGTAAATACTAGGGACACGTTCTATCACTGAACTAATAGCTCATGGGCCTCTCATTCGAGACAACGATCAAATTATTTTCATAACTATTTAATCGTATTTAATAAAGTCGAAAATATTAAATTTGTCACTGAATCTATCTTATCTTAACTTATAAATTAAGTATATAAACTATATTTTTATGTTTCGTCGATTTTTTTATTATATTATTATAGTGACGATTTACTCTTATGTTTATATCGAACGCTAAAAATCTAATTTGTTTTTAGGAAATGCGAATATAATTTATTGGAAATAAAGTAAATTATATACTTAGGTCATGAAGTTGATACGGCGAACGAAAAGCATGAGAGGCATCACGTAAAAGACGTGACATTACCACTCAATCCCTCACCCACGCATCTCTCACGCTCTTCCCCACATGCCTTTCTCATTCTTTCTCCTTTCAAATACCATAAATTATTATATTATAATTGATCGAAATATTCACGTCTCGTTTTTATGACAATATTAATAAAATGTCGATAATTTCACGTTTTATTAATTTTTTTTTTAAAAACGACAAATCAGGTCTATTAAATTTAAATCTTAAAGGTCGAGTTAGATTTTTTTTATGTTTAGATTGGATTGAATTTTTAGAAAGCTAAAACTGATGAAACCGACCCACTCGAAAATAGGGTTACAATCAAACTCAATCCAACCAAATATACCCTCATTAATATATATATCAGGGAGATTAAGAATATTTTATTATAGTAAATAAATAAAATTATTTTTAAATAATAATAAAAAAATAACCCGACAACTCAATTCAACCTGAAAATAGAAGGTTTGGTTTGGTTATGAACTCTACTCGAGTACTCGAGTTATCAACCTAATAAATTCAAAATTTCGAACTGGTTTTAAAGAGTTTTTCAACTAGACCCGTGTATACGATATAAACTCTACCCTAACCTAACTTTTTAAATCAAGCCATTATTATTATTATTATTATTATTATTATTATTATTATTATTATTATTATTATTATTATTATGTAGGTGTGACACCATGAAATCAAGGAGTATCAAATTTTTTAATGAGGCATGAAGAAAATCAGGTGAATGTGTAATCTCATACCTTTAAAATATAATTATGATATTAATATTAAAATTTTACAACTAATGAACAAGCTTTTCTCCATGTTTCTTTAATTATTATTTTAATTCTTACATTAAATAATTAAAGCATAAGTCTAATGCTTTCACATGGAAACTCAAACCAACATTTTATTTATTTAAACTGCACGTTATTAGATAATAATAATAATAATATCTTCCTATTTTATTTTACTTTTACAAAATTATAAATTCATTTCTTTTTAATTATATCTATTAAAATAATAGCAGATATTGTCCTCTTTGGGATTTCTGTTTTGGGCGCTTCTCCAACCAATGTGGGGCATCACAATCCACCCCCTTCAAGACCGAGCATACTCGCTACCACTCTTTCTTTCCTCCAATCGATGTGGGATCACCCCCAAATCCACCCCCTTTGGGGCCCAGCGTTCTTATTGGCACACCGTCTCGTGTCTATCCCCTTTTGGAGAACAGCGAGAAGGCTGACACATCATCCAGTGTCTGGCTCTGATACCATTTATAACGCCCCAGATCCACCGCTAACAAATATTATCCTATTTGGGCTTCCCCTCAAGATTTCAAAACGCGTCTGTTAGGGAAGGTTTCCACACCCTTATAAAATGATCGTTTGTTCTCCTTCCAACCAATGTGGGACATCACAATGTTACATATGGTATCCAAGCTAGACATTGGACAGCGAGCCAGTGTCTCGCTGACCTCCAAATGGTGGATTGAGAGACCACATTCTTTATAAATAGTGTGGAAACCTCTCCTTAACATATACATTTTAAAACTTTGACAGAAGAAAAATTATATTTTTAGCTACGTAGAAGCTCTCAAAATCTTCCCATATAATCTATTTAAGCAAAGATTTTAAGATCGAGATGAACGAACTTGAAAGAACTAAACATTTCATCATCTTTTAAGATCTAAAATCTTTCAAATCCATTAGAAATTAATATAAAATTGGTAAAAATATAATATTCCCAATACCCTTTGGAAACCACTTGGAGTCACCAAATCAATATCAAAATCCCAACTTTTATGTTCTAAATCATACCTTTTCTTAATATTTTCGAACTTACGAGATAAATTTAAAATATTTCGAGATATGGTATGGTTTCAGATGAGGTTGGATCGTTCTTTGAATTTGGACTACTTTTTTTAATCAATTTCGTAAATAGCGTCTCAAATCGTTTCAAAGTACTAATTTATTAGACACAATTACGATACATACGATAAAAATTTATTGTACATACGATTAAAATTTTATAAATACACCTTTTAAGCTTCAAAAAATTATTAAATATATAATTAAATGTTTGGAGGTCTATTTTACAATAACTCAAAAAGTTGAGGACTAAAGTTGCAATTAAGCAAACTTCACCCTTTTTGGGCTTTTAATGGTGGCCCATATACTGACTTTTCCTTTCATTGGAAGGCCCATATTAAAGTTGGTAGCCAATTATTTAAATCCAATTTCTAAAATTCCCATAATTTTTTTTAAATTTTATTAATATAAAAAAGTTACAATCAAATCGATTAATTCTATTTAAAAAATAAATATTACTAACTAAAAATAAATAAATAAAATTTTTTAATTTATAAAATTAGATTTATTATTATTAAGGGAAATATATGTTTTTTTTTTTTTTATGTAAATTTGTTTTAAAAAGTAAACTTTATTTATTAAATGAAATATTATAAAAGCATCATCTTAAAAAAGTGGGAGATAATGTAAAGCATTGGCATCAAATTATCTTTGTCAACTCATTAAATCAAATCAAAAAATGCGATTCCAATTTGGAAAGGTTCCTAATTTAACTCTTAAAAAGGTTAATAATAATATAATTTAAGATTTTAAATATTAAAATTTTGATATTAAAATAACATTTTGATTAAATTTTATGATGTTCGAGTAAAAAAATAATATATGAATAAACTGAGATTATATTCGAAACACTCGTATGGTGAAATGATTCATGAAATTAATTTGTAATTTTAGAAGCATTGTTAGACAAGTAGACAACATATGTATGTCATGTCATATGAAAATGTCGAGCCCATGAGGTGTTGGGTTTTGAATCTTAGACATGGGATATCATGTCAAGACCACGAGTTGTTGGATTTTGAATCTTAGACACCAGATGTCATGTCGTATGAGAATTTCAAAACCACGGGGTGTCGAGTTTTGAATCTTAGACAGGAAATGTCATGTCATGTCATGTCATGTCATACGAGAATGTTGAGACTAGGAGGTGTCGGGTTTTGAATCTTAGACATGAGATGTCATGTCATACGAGAATGTTAAGACCACGAGGTGTCAGGTTTTGAATCTTAGACATGAGATGTCATGTCATACAAGAATGTCAAGACCACGAGGTGTCGACACATGGAATGTCAAGTCATACGAGAATGTCAAGATCACGAGGTGTCGGATTTTGAATGTTAGACACCAGATATCATGTCATACTAGAATATCAAAACCACGAAGTGTCGAGTTTTGAATCTTAGATAGAAAATGTCATGTCATACGAGAATGTCGAGACCAAGAGGCGTCGGATTTTAAATGTTAGACATGTTAGGTTTGAATTTAGGAACAATTTGCAATAAATAATGCACCCATGGATGCGGGGTTGAAAATAGAATAAAGGTGGTTAGAAATTATGATATCAAAATAGAATATGGGAAGCAATCTTTTCACCACTGACAGAGTTCTAGAGGCCGTCTTTCCACTCCATCCACTCCCATTTCAGCAAAGGAAGAACACATGAATTTCATGTTTACATTGACGGTGGCGACGTTTGCAGCCGTCGTCGCCATCCTCTTCTCGTTCCAAACCCCTTTTCTCAAGCTAAATCAGGTATTTGAGCCGCCGCAGATTCCAGGAACCCACGACTATCTTCATTCCGCCACCGTTATCCCGGTCACCGGAGCAAGCGGACCGGAGAGCCTGGTTTTTGATCCGAATGGAGAAGGCCCCTACACTGGCGTCGCTGATGGCCGGATTCTCAAGTGGCAAGGCGATGGCCGTGGCTGGATTGATTACGCTGTCACTAGCTCTCAGAGGTATAATCTTATCATTTTGGATGTTCTGTAATATGATCGTGGAATGGAATGGTGCTGCTTGGCTGCAACTTGTTGAATTAAACAGATCATTGTTGAATTTTGTTATTATATGAAATATTTTGGAGATGGCTGATTAATCATAAGTTTTTCTCTTAAAAATTGTGAGTATATACATAGATTGATGGATTAATGTACGGTTTTAAGATTGCTTGGTTTGGAGAATTGATTGTCAAATTCTCCTGCGTGGACCTGTTCTTTGTTTGGATTCTTCTTGTTCTTTGCCATAACGCCCATAGCAGGAGGAGTTGGGGGGAGAGGCAGCCAACTTTGGTGCCCTTATGGTTGGATATCAAGTTCTTGAGTAATCATTTTAAGGCCTTGTCTTGAAAATCTGTATTACATCTCTTTTTGTAGACTGATTAAACTTTTCTCTCAAGCTCACGACGAGAAGATATTGTCTAGTTTGGGTGTTCTCTTTCAGGCTTCCCCTCAAAGTTTTTAAAACGCCTCTTCTAGGAAGAGGTTTCCACACTTTTATAAACAATGTTTCATTTCCCTCTCCAATCGATATGTGATCTCACATTCCACCCCCTTCGGCACCCAACGTCCTCGTTGGCACTAGTTTTCCTCCCCAATCGATGTGGGATCCTTACACAACATAGGATTGGAGGATCCCACATCGAGAGGGGAACGAGTGCCATCGAGGATGCTGGGCCTCGAAGGGAGGTGGATTGTGAGATCCTACATCGAATGGGGAGGAGAACGAAATATTTTTTATAAAAGTGTGAAAACCTATCCCTAGCATACGCGTTTAAAAACTTTTAAGAGAGCCAAGAAATGAAAACTCAAAGAGGACAATATTTAGTAGCGGTGGGCTTGGAAATAATGGGTTGAATAAGATATCTCAGAGCAACTAAAACTAAAACTGGTTTGACTCTGCTTATGATTGTTTGGCAAATGTTATTCATTTTTCAGGTTCATCTGATAATTGGTTTGGTTTTATGTTGTTGAAGGAGTGAGTGTGTTAGGCCATTTGCACTTGAATTGGAGCATATATGTGGGAGGCCATTGGGACTACGTTTTGATAAGATAACTGGCGATCTCTACATCGCCGACGCCTATCTCGGCATTCATGTAGTGGGACCTGGTGGAGGCTTGGCAACAAAACTTGTGAGTGAATTTGAAGGCATCCCACTTCGCTTCACAAATGATCTTGATATCGATGAGGACAGTGATACCATATACTTCACTGACAGTAGCACAGTTTTCCAAAGAAGGTAATACAGACTCAAAATCATATTCATGCCTCGTTTTAGCAACTGATCTTAGAGAAGAAAATCTGCTGAAAACAAACCATTTGATGAACATAAACTAATTGTTCTTCTGGTTCCTAAGTTTTCTATGTTATGTTCAGCTAAGTTGATATGTATCTCATGTCATTGGTTGTAGATATTGTTCATCACTAGTAGATATTGTCATTTTTTGACCTTTTCTTCTAGGCTTCCTCTCAAGATTTTAAAACGCGTCTACCAGGGAGAGGTTTCCACACCCTTATAAAGAATGTTTCGTTCCCTTCTCCAACCGATGTGGGATCTCACAATCCACCCCCTTCGAGACCTAATGTGACTTTCCCTTATAAAGAAAGCTTTGTTCCCTTCTCCTACCGATGTGGGATCTCACAATCCACCCTCTTCGAGGCCCAGCGTGACTTTCCCTTCTGAGCTTCCCCTCAATGTTTTACAACGTGTCTGTTAGGGAGAGGTTTCCACACTCTTGTAAAAAAATGTTTTGTTCTTCTCTCCAACCGACGTGGGATCTCACAATCCACCCCCCTTCAGGATCCAGTGTCCTTGTTCGCACACTACGTTGTGTCCACCTCCTTCGAGGCTCAGCCTCCTCGCTGGCACATCGCCCGGTGTCTGGCTCTGATATCATTTGTAACGGCCCAAGCCACCGTTAGCAGACATTGTCCTCGGCTTTCCCTTTTGAGCTTCCCCTCAAGTTTTTTCAAACAGTCGGTTAGAGAGAGGTTTCCACACCCTTATAAAGAATGCTTTGTTCCCCTCTCCAACCGACGTGGGATCTCACATTGGTTATCTTTGTTTTAACGAAACACTTAATTATATTTGAAACAGGAACTGCTTCTACTAACTCGCTACGGTATTATCATTACACTTTGGTTTCAGTGACTGTTGTATACTTGCAGGCAGTTCATGACATCAATCTTGAGCGGAGATAGAACAGGAAGGTTACTTAAGTACCACCGAGCTAGCAAACAAGTCACGGTTTTACTACAAGGCCTTGCTTTTACCAATGGAGTTCAGCTAAGCAAGGACCATTCCCACGTGCTTGTTGCTGAGTCCACCTCCGGCAGGATCCTCAGATATTGGCTTCAAGGCTCTAAAACAGGAAATATGGATGTCCTCGCTCAGCTTCCGGGCTTTCCCGACAACATTAGAAGGAATTCCAAAGGCGAATATTGGGTTGCTTTGCATTCCAAAAAGGGGATTGTTGGGAACTTGGTTGCTTCAACCTCTTGGCTTGGGAAGCTGCTGTTGAAGCTTCCTTTAGACTTCAAGCAATTGCATGCGTTGGTGGTGGGAGGGAAGGCTCATGCCACTGCTGTTAAGTTGAGTGAGGAAGGAAAGGTTTTGGAGATATTGGAAGATTGTGAAGGGAAAACTTTGAAGTTCATTAGTGAAGTGGAAGAGAAGGATGGGAAGTTGTGGTTTGGGTCAGTTCTAGTGCCGTTTGTGGGCGTTTATGAACCGAAGTAGGCTCATTCATCGTAAGCCATTTCTTTTAAGTGTCGTTCGAATAAATAGTTCGCTCGTTTTTCATAATTATAGTTTTCCTTTTCGAAATAGAGTAACTTTAGTGTAGAAGATCGTAAAAAGGCGTTGGAAGAAGCATAAGTTCTGTTTGATCTAACTTTTGGTTAATCTATTTAGGTTTTGAATCTCTTCTCGTTTTGGACATATCGGACATATCGCTTCACTTTTAGTAGATTATGGTATAGTTGTGTTGAAAAATGTTTTTTTTTTTTTTTCTTTTTGTAAAATATTCGTATGGTACATAAAGATTGAATATTAAAATTAATATTAAAACTTGTCGAGATGCTAAATTATAACTTTAGCACAAAATTAATTTTAAATTCGTGTAGAAGATTTTGTAGATTTAAAAAATTAAAAAAAAATGTAAGGGACTAAATTTATAATTTCAAAAGTTATTTTTAAGTTTATGGACTAAATTTAATTTTATATTTTAAATACAATTAGATTAATTAAGAAAAAGAAAATTAATTAAAGAAATATTAAAATAAATGAAAAAAAAAGGAAATACACCTAAAAAGCAAGTAACACCAAACTTGAGGGATGTTTTTAACTAAAAAAGAAATTAAAAAAAGCCTATTTTTTGCGATCAACAAATATTTACAGAAAAGAAAATTTCCAACTTTCCATTATGGGAGGGTTTGGTATTATTTATTATTTATTTATTTATTTATGATATTTTAACATTTTTTTTTGTTATATATATATAAACCCAAAAGTTAGGGATAAATTTTGTGTTTAATATTTTTTAAGATTTTTTTTCGCTTTAAAAGTACTTAAAGAAAATTGTTGTCTAATTTAAAAATTAAATAAATTTTAAAAAATAATTTTTATTTAATATTCAAATTTCACTCTAAATTTTAATCCATTTTAATATATATATATTTATTAAGTCGTTAATCTTTTTAAATTTTAAAAATTTATGATAATCTATTAATTATTCTTTAAAAACTTATTAGTCGAAAAATTATGTATTTTTACAAGTTAGTATTTTATTAATAATTTAGACATGCAAATATATATATATTTATTTATCATAATAGTTTTTTAAAATACAAATCTTTTTTAAGAATACGATAAAATAATTTTAAATAATAGTAATTTTGAATACGAGAAAATAATTTACAATAATAAATTATTAATAAATAAATCTATTTGAATAAATCCAAGGTGATTGCCAATCTAATTTGAAATTATAATTAAAAAATTATTTTAATTTAAACTCTTTATAATTATTCTATATTTATTTTAAAAAAAAAAACTATAGAATTGATTAGGTATATCCAATTTGATTTAAAGGGCAAAAAAAAAAACCAACCCTAATTTTCGTTATTCCAATTTCCTTTTCCTTAGAGGAAAAATAAATAAATAAATAGAAAATTTGTATATAATATATCCCATCCCGCTCTCTTCCACATAGAAACTAATTTGAAGGCCTTGGAAATCCAGCAGCCATGGCCGGAATGCAATACAACTTCTTCCCCACAGATTTCTACTACCCTCGTCCGCCGCCGCCTAATTCCGTTAAAATGTTGACTACGCTGCCGCTTCGCCGAACAGTTGAAGATGAAAAGGGTGAGCAGTCGGTGGACGAACCCAAAGCATCGCCGGCGTCCATGGCTATGAACAAGACGGTGGTTGGAGCTTCTATTTCCACGGCGTTTCTTCCTCCTCCCTCTCACATCCTCAAAAACTAAACCATTATTTGATTTCTAATGCATATCTAATCGACTTAGGGGCTGTATCGATCGTTACCTTTTCATTTTTATGCCAATATTTAGAGATTTTTTTATATTATATGAATGAATTATAATGTTTTTAATATATGCTTATTATTTATTTTTGTGTTTATCTCCCCCGATCCACAAAATTCAACTCGTATATTTTGAGTTTGCCCATTAATTTATTGAGTTGAATTTTGTTTAAATAAATAAAAACGTTAATGAGTTGGTCAACAAATGTTTTACTCATTAACGTTTTAATTTTATTAAAAAAAAGTTTAATATAAATCACTCGAATAACATGAGCCAACCCAACTAAAAGATGTTCGAACCCAATTCAACCCAATCTACGAATACTCGAGTCTGGCTCATTAGTTACAATATATGAGAGATTCACGTATCGGTCTACAAATCAATCTAATCTACAAATACTCGAGTCTGGCTCATTAGTTACAGTATATGGAAGATTCACGTATCGATCTACGTATTTGATATAATAAACAACACGAAAGTATTATTTATGAATTGATTTGTATTTTTATAATAAAAAAAATGTTGTCACAATTAAAGAATTATTTATTGTTTTTTAAATTTAATTAAGAGTTAAATATTTTTCTTAACAAATGTGAGAAAATAAATATAATTTTTTAAAAATTAATGGTAGAATATTAATAGTTAATAATAAAATTTTATTTAGTAGTTAAAAAAATATATAATATTTTTTAAAATTTTCTAAATCTAAATGATATATCTATATTCATAATTAGTTATTAATTAAATAGTATTAAAATGATTAAGGAATATTAATTAATTAATTAAATTAGCTTTATACGGCTCGTTTGGGAGATATAAAATTTTAAATATATAGATATAAGAAAATAAATTTTAAATGTTTTGAATGATAATATTTTGAATTTTAAAGTTTGAAATCTCATCAAATAAATAAAGATATAATTAAATAAAAGAAAAAAAGAAAGCTGTAAAATAATAAATATATAAGGAGGAGGCATAACCTAAACTCCATCGTCTTCTCTCTGCGCGCCCTTGTTCTTCACCACTCCCTCTCTTTCGTGTCGCCGCCGCTTCTCTCCGGTTGTTGCAGCCGCCGTCGTCTTTCCCTTCTGCCGCAGCCTCTCTACCAGCGGTTTGCACTCATTCTCCCTTTCCTGTAGCCGTCGCCGTCGCCATCGTCTTCCCTTCTGCCGCAGCCTCTCTCCAGCGGGCTTGTACTGATTTTCAACTATATCGTTGTTACTGGTATTCTCCAAATCTCCTCTTAATTGTTTATATATATATTTTTTAAATGACAATACCCTAATATTAAAAAGAAGAAAAAAGCTTGCGGCAAATTAAATTGGGACTTGCTGTTGATTTGTTGCACGTCTGTGAATAGACTTTGATTATCTTTGCATCTCTTTGGTTTCTGCTGGAAACGGAGTTGTTCTGAGACCATGAATTTTCTAGCATCTCCCTTTTATGTTTATCAGATAATTAGTGGGAGTAATCTATCCTATTATCCAATTCTCTTGTAATCATATTTGTATATTCATAGATTATAGTTGGGGAGAAGACAATGAGTCTTTAATTGAATTGAACTCCTCCTCAGATTAATCAATTCAAAATACATCGAGATGGGGAGGGCCAAGAAAGGACCCAAATTTGCAGTCGTGAAGAAGATGATCTCTTCTAAAGCGATTAAAAAGTATGCCTCCTATATTTTCTTTTGAATTGATAACTTTATCCTATTTTGTTTCAATCTTTTATTTTTCTCTTGTTTTTAGCTACAAGGAAGAGGTCTTGAATCCAAAAAGGAAAGATCTAACGAAAGAAAATCTCCCAAGAAACATGTAAGGAACCTTTTGAGCTGACTGTTATGTGCTCTGTATTAATAATTTTCTTTTACTCGTTGTCTATGACTAATTCATGCTTGCATTGTTGTTAATTCAGTCCAAATGTTCCTTCAGCACTTTTCTTCAAATACAACACTGCATTGGGGCCCCCTTATCGGGTTTTGGTGGATACAAATTTCATCAATTTCTCCATTCAAAACAAAGTGAGTGCTTCAAATTTTTATAACTATCTGATTTCGATATGTGAAGCTCATTTTTATTATGGATATAACTAAAGTGGGTGCTTCAAATTTTTATAACTGTCTGATTTCGATATGTAAAGCTCATTTTATTATGGATATAACTTGTGGATTATTTGAATTGAATTGAATTGAAGTGGTTTTCTTCTTCCTTTCTTTCTGGTGCAGTTGGACTTGGAGAAGGGAATGATGGATTGTCTGTATGCAAAATGTAAGTTGCACTTACAGAATTTTTTTATTATAATTTGAAATGTGAGA